ACTTATGCGGCCCAAGGACCCAGTACCCGTTAACCAAAAGTCCGGTGTCATTGACTGTCTTTGCGGTCAAGCCAATTATGATGGTGAAACCGGCAAACGGGTTCTGACGAGAACGCACCAGCATGAACTCGCCGTGCAACGGAACGACAAACTTTCCCTGTTGGCCGCTCACGCATCTACGCCGCGGGACAGCTTCGACTTCGAACGCGTTCGAATACTGGGCCGGTCAGACGACCGAACTTCACGCCTGCTGCAGGTAGCATGGCATTCATGTGCGGGCTCAACTAACAGGCATATCGAGCTTCCTGATGCCTACCTCGTGTTGCGCGAGCCGATCGAGGACCGAGGTCAGGGGCAGAGGTCAATCCCGGCAGAACCGACTTAAATACACTCTGAAATGTACGTTTTTCATATCTTGACAATGAGCTCGCGGAAGAGTTCGAAAAGTCGGACAAATACACCCCTGGTCCCAGAGAACGTCTTACGTTCTTCTATTCAGTTACCTGGGCCTCGCATATTCTCGACCATTCCTAACAAAAGCGTCCTACTTTTTATCTCTTTTGTACGATATAAATTGGATTAAAGTTGTCCAACAGTATCTCAAAGTTTTCCTGCACGCGCAAATGCCAGTTTGCCTGTGATTATCACTCTTTCGCAAATTACAGAGTTTTGCACGAGTTTGGGCCCAACCTGAAATTCCTATTTTTGATACCTATGGTTCGCACGGCTAATTGCAACTGATCATGCATACAAAAATACCACTTTTTAAGGCACCTAACAATAGGTTGCAACATATGGATTGAGAAGAAGACTCGATCGCTGCAACAATATTTTTATTCGCCTGACGTTTCGAGATCCGTCATCGCGGATTCGCATCTGCTACTGTTCTCTGACTATGCCTCTGATGACAAATCCGCGACAGATCTCGAAACGACAGGCGAAAAAAAGTATTATCCCAGCGATCGAGTCGTCTTCTTCTCAATTTACTTTCTGGGACTCGCATGTTCACTTGTATTGACATTTGGGTTGTTCTGTAGGGTAGTCCTTACAGCAATATTAATGTAAGTTCGGAAAAACGAAACACGATAGGTCGCCTTGAAATCTTAAAAGCAGACAGTAAACAGGCTGCGCTACAAGCAACTAGTAAATAATCAAGTTTTGGAATCAACAGTGGATAGATACACGTCACCAGCACTTTCGTGTAAGACTACCTCTAAGACAACAGTGGTGCTAATGAAAGGAACAGGTGATGAGGTCGAAATTAGTTGGCAAGTCAGAAGATCATGCTTACACCATATGACTGGTTTACTCTATTGCGCAACTTTGAATTCAATTGTAAACAGCTATAGAAGATGTAACCTCCTGATCAATCGGTGCAAGAAAATTATTTTGTGTATGTTTGAATCTATAAGGACACCAAAAAAATAATATAGAAACTATTCAAGCTGTTATATTTTGTCCAGGCTCATCCAAAAGTTGTCGTCTTTGGATAACTGTAATACTGTGAGATTATGCCGAGGGATAAGCAGTATAACAACTACACCTAAGCAACCCTTTCTAATCAAAAACGCCCTTCAAAGGCTCGGCCAATAGTTCATGAGATAAGCTATATGCTGTTATTCTGGCTTAACCCGTACGAACAATCAAAAAGATTGACCTCAGAAGTTTGCTTGCCTAACACTTAATGAAGTCATTGCTTTGAGAGATTTTGTCACGACAGAATTGTCAGGACTGCAGTTGCCGGCATTCGGTGTGTCCACATACCGAGTGAAGGGCCTAAAGGTACGTTTAAATGTAAAAACAAAGCTGGGTATGTTTGCGATATTCAAGAAGAGGAAGAGTAACCTCAGGTTACCTTCTACGCCAGCCAAGCTCAACTTCGAGCAAAACACTATTAAATGGGTCAATCTTTTCTTTTTCGAATTAGTTCAGCTGCCTGCAGAACGTTGCTTGCGTTTTGAGGTTGATTGTGCAGAGGCTTGTTTCATTTGGCAGCTTGCATGAAATGATGCCTTAACAAAGGGTTGGAGATTGATGAGTTAAACAAATCATAATTGTTTTTGAAACCCATCACGTTCCATGGCGTTCTAGGCTTTTCAAATGACTTGAATGCACAAATACTAAAAAAGATTGTAAGTATCTCCACCCTACATTGGACGTCCCGACATTCAGCAAACTGAAATATGTTCAGAAAGATTCACATATTTAACGTGCAGGTGACAAATATGAGGTGTGCATATGAAACGTAGGCAAGCCTTAGCAGAGCTTACTCTCAAAATCATGGTCACAAACATCTAAGATAACCCAGGGAGTTAAAACGAAACCAGAATTTTATTTATTGAATAATAATAGTAGTAGTAGTAGGCGCTCACTGATCGCGTTACGAAGCACAATCGACCTTGGGACTCAATCTCGAGACCCTGCCAGCAGCCGCTCACGCATAAATGCATTACTACCAAAGACTATGGAGACTAGAAGGGCCGTTTCTGGCTTGGTAGCCGTCATCAGCCAGCCATAAGAAATAGCACCAATTGATTTAAGGGACACGCTGTCACCATTGTGCTCTAGAACCTTTATAGGCAGTCACGTACGTATCAGGCCCATATGCAATACGGAATACCGGCAAAGACTAGGGAAACTGGTATGCAAGTATAACCAACCTTGACAAGAATCTCGGCACTGGCTTGAAGCTCATTGGTCCCTGCATACCAAATGTACTCCTCCAGCTGTTCCAGCATGGGATTGACCTCACTTGGCACGTGGGTAATCAGCTCGTAGACCAGACGGAGCTTCTCCATGTCATTCTCACGCAGGAGTTTGGGAAACTCCGATAGGATTTCGTCCTGTGTAGTAGCAAAAAAAGCAGTAGACAAAAGCTGGTAAGCAGAGGCGATAATGACGTCTGCTGGAAACGGTGCAGTGTTGGTAACAAAATAAATTGTGAAACCCACGCGGTAAGGAAAGCTTATAAGTATCACCATAGGATGAGAGCACGCCAAAACGAAACACCATCGTTGAAACGCTCCTGAGCCTAGCCGTAACGTCCGGACGTCTATCCGAGGTCTCCACA